ATCCCCATGAACCCCATCATCCCCATGAACCCCATCATCCCCATGAACCCCTCTACTCCTAGAATTTAACGATGATGTCAAAAATCGTCAGGGTATTAAAAATTTTGAAAAACAATTAGTAAGCTAATTAAAGCGATTTTAATCTCGTCAAAAAATCGGTTTGGGCACCCTGTGTTATCGTGACATCAGATCATGATGTCAGGTCATGGTTAGGGTTTGTTTTGACAAGAAGGCGAATATACACTTGTGAKTGAGAAAAGCTGGAAAATCCAATCATTGAGAGAATTCTTTCTTTCCACAGATGATTCATCATCTTTTTATGAATGTCACTTTGCACCGTGTAGTAAAATAGAACATGAGGTGAGTATTYAATAGTCGCTTCTCTTTGATATCATTAATTTGTTGAATGGGTGGATACATTGATTTTTCAGCTCCAAGAGTTCAGTATTTGTGGAAGATGTCAGCAAGTTAGATATTGTGGTACACTTTGTCAGCAGGTGAGTTTATGTGCACAAAAATAAATGGTGTTAGAGATGAAGTTGAATTGATAATATTAACAATTTTGATGATTAGATGGTACATACTTTGAGAAACAGATAAATCATAATAAATTGCAAAAAAATATACTTTTATTTACCACGACTCGTGACCAATCAAACTAGAGAAAATTTACATTTAGTGCTAAAAGTTACAACTACTTCAAAGTTAGCATATATRCATGTAATAACCCCTTCCTTGACATCATTGTCACTAGCACATTGTAAGATTAAACCTTTGTAATGAAAAGATGCAACGCTGACTGAGAGAATATTTCTCAAATATTCATAGGAAATACATACTTTACTTAGATGAATAAGCTCACAGAGAATCAACAATATTATTGTGTCAAGAACTACTTTAAACAATAAAAAAACAATGGGATTTTCATTTTATTTCATTTTTTTCAGAGGGACTGGCCRAATCACAAGAAATGCTGCAAGGAGAAAGCAAAGCAAAGATTGCAAAGCATTCCACCTGAACGATAGACAGCATCTATATCTTATTAGTTAAGACTATTTAAATTGGACTAAGGGACTCTAACTACACATAAGCAACAAAGGTTAAAATTCAATCATTTTTCATTGACTTCTGCACATTTTGTAATGTACAAAAAATACACTTTCCATGCTGATGCTCAACAGTAGAATTTTAGTTTTATTGCTGAGACAAAGAGTTGGTTTTTAGCATTACACTTAAATCCATTGTTTTCTTTAACAACCAATGCTAACTGATTGTCATTGCATCGTCGAATGAAAAGGACCCTATTAAGGATAATTATTATAATAATAACAATTTTGCTGTAGATTTTTCTAAAGTATCATTGAGTCAAAGTAGGAAAAGTGATGTCTCAGAATTTTGATATATAATTACTGATCTCTTTGCATACAATTTCTTTGTGTACATATGTTCCCACCCTCCCCCCTATGGAGAAAATTTGAGAAGAAACGTTTCCTGCCCAAACCTTGAACAGATGTTAATGCAATAGCTCTTTTCCATTACTTTCTTTTCAATACTCTTGTTTTACAATTAGTGTCATTTGCTGTGTAACCACGACCTTATATTAAGCAACACAGCTATAACATGAAATGTTTTATCACTCAGACTTATTAGATGCACATTAACCAGGGCTCAGCAGCAACATCTATTATGGCTTCCAGAGTGATCCAACATGTCTTGTTTGTCCATAACTTTTAAAAGTTTGATACTTATGAAATAAGAGTATTGTCTCAAAAAGTCTTTTTATGGGAAAGTATTTACCATAATTTACAATTTGTATTCCGCTTGAACTTTGAACAAATGGAATTCTGAGATGCTACTGACAGTAATGACTGCAAAAAGATTTCAACATTTTACTCAATGTTCTGTTATGTATCATGTAATTATAGTTAGTACTTTGATGTGTATGAAAAAGTGTAATAAACCAGTGAAAATATCTCTTGGCTCATTGTACATCTATATTAGAGATTTTTAATGCACAACTGCTTTAGCTCTGAAGCTGGTAGTCATGCTTAAAATGCAGGGTACTAGCTTCATTGCCCATATATGGGAAGTCTAAAAACTCTTACTCGCTGTATATCAGCTCAGTGCTGAGATATACCAGCAATGTACAAGTACCTGGGTACTAAGAGCAGATTTCGTATGACTGTGCAAAAAACACTATTTTCGTGCTGTGACCGTACCGTGTCGTAGTGGTGATGTATTGTTAAATCTTTATTTTCATTTGGAATCCTAGGTGATCTGCGTTGTGTTGTGATCTGTGCMRTTGCACAGTCATATGAAATCCCCTCTATGTATGTACAGTCAGTCATACATGTATAAAGTATTGAAAATATGAGCCTCGCACAAAGTTGTGTTCTTGTTGTCACTTGGACATGCCACTATATTAGAGTAATTGCAAAGTGACATGTTTTTATAAGATAATGAGTAACATTATGTTTGCTAGTATTATATACTGTTTATTTCATTACTTGTGGTTTGGTTGCGCTGTTTATTCAAGGCATCTTTTTAATTGTTGATAGTAAACCTTTTAACATTAACAGATCTAATGAAATGTTTCTTATATTTTTGCACTGTTTCTTGCTGTTTGTTGGAAATAATAAAGTCAGTAATTACCAGTAAAGCTGTAAAAAGTGTTTGTATTTCACCTGGTCACAATTGTTCAAATCATCCAGCGCTAAAAGAAGATGACTTTTTGACATTGTTAATGGGATTGACCGTGAGCTATTCACTTTCATTCAATGCATTGATTCCCTGTGACAGTTGATTGACAGCTGTCAATATTGTGTCCCTATCAGTATYATCAAGTCTATCCCCACATTTCTGCAGGAACCTGTCAGGATGCCATCGCACTTGCTGATCTCTGAGGAATCTTTTCCTGTCCGTTTCACCTTCACTCCATGCCTGAATGAACTTAACCATGTCCTTAACCTCTCCTTTACAAGGCCAAGGAATATCATTGTATCTTAAATGTTTAATATCATTTTTCACAAACACAGAATTACATTGGGATTCGTATTGTGTTTTGAGAACTGCTGTTTTGCGTTCTGCTCGTCTACGAGACATTTCCTTCACATATTCTTCGTGTTGTTCTTGTAGCAAGCGAGTTCTTTCACTCGCCTCTCGGTCTTTATTTTCTTTTTTCGATGTTTCGTCCTCGGTTTTATTAGTTCTAGTATGTGCATAGTATTTTCTATGTCTTTCATCTGCGATTCTGTCAGCCCATTGGTCGTATGTTTCTTCTGTAAATTGACAATCGGTYATGTTATTAGCGAATAATTCCTCCAYCTCGTCATTTCCTAACTCAAAAAACAACTTTTCTTGCCATTCTTTCGTATTGCGAAGATCTTCACGAACTCTYTCTTCTTCCTCTTCGTAAATCTGTCTATCTTGTCGTCGTTTTCTTAGCTCCCATTTAAATTTCTTTCTTAACTTTCTCGGCGTTTCGCCATCATCGTTGGGCACACGAAGTAGATGCCTTGGAGCATGCTGCCATAACGGTTCTACTAGATCTTGATAAATTATGTCTGTCAACACTTGTAAAGCATGATGTAGTGCAAGATGAAGAGGAGTATTTCCCTGTGAGTCCTTAACATCGACACTAGCGCCACAATTTATCAACTCTTTCGCCATCGCATCTTCTCCCAAAAGACAAGCAATGTGCAATRTGGTCCGTCTTCTTGAGTCAAGAATTTCATCAAGGATGATGTCTTTGTTCTTATTCATAATAGAACGAATACGTTTGATTCTTCCTTCTTTAACATAGCGGAAGAGTTTGTCCTGTAAATCCTTCTTCATATTACAGATATTACATCGCAACAGAAATAAATACACAGCTTTCGTCCGCCATATTGAATAAGAGCCCGCAGTCTATCTTGCCACTATGTACAGGACATGCGCACAGTGTAAACCACAACAAACCTACCAAAAGTTGTATTTTTTCAATTTGTTGCATTTTGAAAGCCTAATATTGCTCGAAATGGCTGAATCAGATTGGGATTCTGTCACTTATCTAAAGAAAAGAGCTCCCAGAGCTGCAGAAATGCGTTCAAAACAGGTAAGAAATGAATACAGTTCACCAAATTAATCCATACTTTTGAATGAGTCATCTTTATGACCACGTTACTGGCATTTAGGAAATTCATAATATTGCAACTTTTCAATTAAATCATTTTCTTCAGGCTATAGCTTCAGCACAAAGACACGGAGAAAAAATAGAAACCACTGAAAAATGTAAGTTTTAGCTKCAAGTAAATATTATCAAGATCTACAACTTGATTTCAGCAGTCAAAGAAATGTTGCATCATCAAATACTGTTAAATTTRGCCTTGTATGAAATTTTGCATGATGCTGTGCTTATAACATTATTTGAAAAATGTRATGCAGTGCCGTTTAGACAATCAAAAACCAAGATATCACAAGAAAAGATATATTTCTATCAATAATTGACAGCTTGAATTTGTGTGGAGCAGAAAACTCCGATACTTTTATTTGTACCCTGAACGATTCCAATTGCGTGTTCAAAAATGTGTGTAGAGCACATAGAGCACTATATATTGTAATTAATCAAAATATCTYATCTTAAAGTCCTCTAGCTACTGCAGTGGTTGCCGAACCCAACAATATAAGATTTTACTTTTTTTTATTTTGGTCTGTTTTTATGACATTTGCTTTCTTACTTTCTGTTCTTCTTTCTGTTATTTCTTTCTGTTGTCTTATTCCTACATTCTTTCTTACTTTCGGTTTCTCCATTAATTTTTTCTTTTCACTCAAAGCTGTCCAGTAGTAAGCTCTTCACTTTAAATTGTTGTTCTCTTTCTTGTATTTTTTTGCATGATTATTGCATATTTTGCTCTATCTTATTCATGCCACTAATTAAAAATTTACATGTGTTTCATTAATAGTTGCAGCAGGGGGAAATAAACAGCATTCAACACATAAAGACACAGCAAAATTGGACAGAGAAACTGAAGAACTGCACCGTATGTTAACAATAATTCATGGATTTATGACAGATATTTTAAGGCCCGTTTACACTTGCAATTTTTGCAGCGCGATTGTCGCATGACAATCGCCTTAGTTTCGAACATGAATGAAATTTAGCTGCAACTAGCGGCGAGTTTTGATCGTGAGAGAGCAAAGTGGCAATAATTTGTCGTGCGACAATTGCACTGTAAAAATTGCAAGTGTAAATGGGCCTTTAGATTCGTTTTTCTGTAGTATCAAGAACTTGAACAAAAGTATTCAGTAGATAACACTAAATCAGTAGATAACACTAAATCAGTAGATAACACTAAATCTCTTGGAGTGCACATTGACGAAAATCTCTCTTGGTATGCGCACATCGAGACTATTGCTAAGAAAATTGCATCTGGTCTGGGAGCTTTGAAAAGGTGTAGACGATTTGTTCCTCGAATCACGCTCCATTCTATTTTCAATGCCTTAACACAGCCTCATTTTGATTATTGTAGTGTTGTTTGGGGKCACTGTAATAAGACCCTCTCTGACAAACTACAAAAATTACAAAACYGTGCTGCGSGTATTCWAACCTTTTCCAGCTATGACACAAATGCCGATCTTCTCTTTAAACGGCTTGGATGGAAAAGGTTGGAATCCCAAAGGCAAATACAAGAAGCAGTAATGGTGTACAAATCTCTTAATGATCTTGTACCGTCCTATCTTTACTGATAGGAGTAATATAACCCATTATGAACTGAGAGACACTGTGGGCAAACTCGCTGTTCCTTTGCCCCGCTATCTATCTATCTATCTAACAGCTAGTAAAAAATTAATCAGAGCTTTCTTTTTTAAATTGTTGATCCCATTCTCATGAACTTCAAATACCTAAATTGTAAGTTGTATTTTTCAGATGAAAAACTTTCTCTGGATGTTGGAAAACTAATCCAAAAGGGTCGAGTGGAGAAAAAATTAACACAAAAAGAATTGGCAACAGTAAGTTTTAGTTTAAAAGTGATTTTTTGAATTTTGATTGAGGAGGACAAGAAGCAAATTGCTGTTCAACAATGAGTTGGAATTTGTGTATTTAAAAAAATGTAATGTTGTAAATCATTGAGTACAGTATGCACTCACTCTACTTACAAAATATAACCAGGATTTGTGTTATTGAAACAGCTTGGCAGCCATTTTGGCTTTTGAAAATCATCAATATTATATTAATAAATTATATCTAGTTCTTATATCTTCCTTCATTCAAATCAACCTCTCAACCAACAGCCATCAAAATAATGTTGTGTCGCATGAAATTATGATGTACTGTAACAGGCAAAAGATGACACTTGGCTTTTTTATTAAAATTAAAAATACTTTATGTTAAAAATTTTGAATTTTGTGATGAAAATGTAGTAACTATAGTGAAAACTATAATGAAGAAGGCAGAGAGCTGGATTAACTTGTTATTTTGTTCTCAGAAAATCAATGAAAAGCCAAATGTGATTATGGAATATGAACAAGGCAAAGCAATACCAAATAACCAGATCCTGGGTAAAATAGAGAGAGTTATTGGTAAGTTTACTGATGGTTATACTCATTTCTAGAACAAGAAAAACATGACATATCTTYGCACCTCCAGATGTCAAATGTCTACATTCCTTTATATTTTGCTCTGAAAAGTTTTGAATGGAAGCAAAAGTAAACTGGAAAACCCTCTTGTTCTTTTGGATTTTTAGAAATGTTTAAAATGTAAACAAAATCCAAAAAAAAAAAAAAGAAAACAAAACTGTCATATTTCAAGATATAAAACATAGCACACCTTAAGTGTTATAACTCTAAATCTTTTTACAATATTACAGGTATAAGGCTTCGTGGTAAAGACAAAGGCAGGCCTCTTGAGCAGGGTGGCAAGGGAAAGAAATGAATCCTTGATAACCTGAGATGGTCATCATTTTTTCGCCTTGTCAAACACCTGATATCAATATCAAGGAAGATTAACACATAAAACAATAAAATTACTTTAAAACTTTGATCTTTTGTCTCCTTTAAATCAGAGTTAGGCTTTTAATAATTTAAGGAAATTTGTGATTATTGTGAAGCATCTTTGCATATTTATATGTATATTTTTTGAAATGTATCTTGGTTTCTTGTTGCCAGAAAAAGGGTATCAATGTTTAAGAATGTTTTAATAACTTGTAGTGTGTATGCACTTTGTCTCTGATTCATGCTTGAATACAAAAAATGTACCTAGTACATGTACCTAGTATCCAGTCAGCACTATAGTACATGTACATCTTGAAACCAAAGGTAAGCTTCTTTCACTCTGTCTACTCGTAGAGAAAAATAACCCTTTTTATTTCTAGTATAGTGTTTCCCTGGGAAGCAAGGATCAAGGAATGATAAAATATTACCTCTGGGGATGAGGATGTGTTTAGTAGTAATTCTGTTTGTTTCACTAATTACAYGAGTGCAAATATCCACAAAATTTACTGAAATTTTATGTGAATTTGTGCTTTTGGTCATCAATCAAACACTGCACTTCACCAAACATTTTTAAACTCTCCCTTCAAAACTGACCCAGCTTGGACAACAGTCTCCATCAATAGCAGTTTGGATATGTTATTGAGACAAAAAAAAAACAACAACAACAACAAGAAAACATTAAAAAAAGTTGCAGTAAGAAAAAAAAGTTAAGGAAAAAAGCAAAGTTCTAAATAAACAGCTGCAGTTGTTTTTATTGAATTATGAACTWGTTTTGATATAAATGTAAAACATCATTTATGTACAATATACAGGTATGAGCATGAGATCCTCCTGTTTGACATTATAGATCAGTGTTGCATGTCTTAGGTACAATTTTATGCAATGTCGACACCAATTATGTTTTGCTTTGAACTGCTTCTTTTCTTGTGGCGTCTTGCAGCAATTGTGTATCAACCTCTTCTGCTGGGAGCTGTACATATCTCACAACAGATCCTCTTATGAAACAGTTCTTGACTGATTGCTAATAAAAACAAAAACAAAGCTTTAGTTATGAGTCAGTGTACAGTGTACAGTCAGTGTACAGGCCCTGAGAGGCAACATGTTATCTTTACATAAACATAACCCTTTAAGTAAAGGTGATCACGTTTTTTTTCCAGATGAAGTTTATTCCCCACGGAAGAGCTCCAGGTGCATTATTGTACTTTATGTTGGCCTTCTTTGCCTTTTCTCCATTCCGTCAACAAGTATATTATTGCTTGAAAAATAATTATGTTATATAGTGTTGCTGTTGTCCAATCAAAATATACTAATATATTCTGAATAAATAATAAGTAACTTATAACTGTTAGAAATATAATCAATTACCATGTGCGGATATTTTTCTGGATCTGTGACATCAATATCTGTCAGCTTTAGATTAAGAAACTACAAGATAGAAGGGAATGAAAACAAGAATAAAATATATAGATTAAACGAATAAGAAATTAGATACTTTAAAAGCTTTAATAAGTGTATAAAAAATCTGTAAATTGCATTAATTTTGTACAGAAATAATGCATACCTGGTCTACGGAGTCTAGAGTTCCATGTACGCTATAGTTTACAAGGGGAGAAGTTATTTTGTAATTTAGTAAGTTAAACCATCACACAACGTGCACAAAACGTCTCTCACCTCAAATCATTCTTGAGCTCKACAATAACTTCTTTTCCAACCAAGGACTTAAAGAAGGAATAAAACAACTACGGAAACAAACACATCAAATGATATATCTCCTGATAAAATCTTACTATGAACTTTCAGCATAAAATATACTTACCATTTTTGACCTTTCCAAAGATTCGAATTCAAAATGGCCGCTGTGGTCAGCGGTTGTGTAAAAGCTGAGCCCGCGTTYGGKGATTGCARTGAATTCTGGTTATTCTGGCAGTTCTGTAAAAAAAMCTAATTCAATCAAGTAAATTTGTTAAACTTCTGCACGAAAATGAGCGTAGATTGTGAATCATATTATGGAACTACACCTGTACAGCATTATTTTAGCCCTTACGCATTCAATGGCGGGTAAGTTTGACTGTAAAAGGSTTTTTATCAGAGACGTTTTGTCATCTCCACATGACTCAGCAACCTCTATGTCATTTTAATTTTTTGTAACATTTCCTTTTCCTTTCGATGCCTTCTCCTTGATCGACCAGAAATCTCAGCTTTTGAGCGTTTTATTTCAAGATTAGAAAACCCTATTAGCTGAATGTCTTATTAAACAGACTCTATGACTTAAACCCTTTTTAATGTCAGACAAATTTTGAAAAAATGAAAAGTTAAAGTTGAAGGTGACTTCTTGTACATAAAGGGGATACTAGATAAGCTGAGGCCTTTTTACAWCAGCAATTATTATGCTAAAATATAATTTTGAATTTTTGCAGAACTGTCTTAGCCATTTCTGGTGAAGACTTCGCTGTTATTGCATCTGACACAAGACTAAGTCAAGGCTTTCAAATCCACACAAGAGATAGTCCCAAGTTGTACAAATTGTAAGTACTAGAGCAGAATAGAGCAGAATGGGACCTTCCACTAAATATAGACGGGATGCACCATGGGATTGTTGAAAGTATAAACTGAGCCATGYTTTTTCTTTCATTCACATTTATGTTGCCTCGGGCTGTTATTTGAATAACAGGCATTAGTTCCTTCATAGACACTTCTTTTGGMATTTTGTAAGCATCGCATTTTTAGCATCTCTTTCTCTTTCTCAACAATATTGTTAATTTTGTAAAGAAACTTTATCCTCTGTATCTTTAAGAGATTTGGCATCTTATTACTCTCATCAACATTAGACTATGATGTGCTTTGCCGAAATGCACAGAATGTCATTTGGCTAAACAATCATTGTTATGAGTGCGATGTGGACCTTGCAGTACAGTGATCATATAAAATGTGTACTCTCTATCAAAGCATTAAAAATTCTTGCTTTAACAGCTAGTAYSTTGTCCAAACTGTAGAGGAGTGTTTTTGCTAATCATGCAATAGACTGTAGATATTACATATAGGCTTAGTTGTTTCTAGAACAGTAACAAAACTTTTATATATGGTGATTGACAGGACCAAGTCCACTGTACTTGGGTGCTCAGGTTTCCATGGAGACTGTCTAACTCTTACCAAACACATTGATGCAAGATTACAGGTATCRACCATTGCATCTTAATACTGTCAAAAATACAAGAATGAGGAAGTACAGCAACAGTTTCATTTTATACCAGCATTCAGATCATACATGCATTCATCTTATGATCTCATACTACATGTATTTATAATATGATATTATTATTATATATTATGATATATTAGTATATTTTTAATTAACATTAATTTTAATTTTGTTCGACATATTGTCATTTCTGATAATTTGTTTTGCAGATGTATGAACATGAACATGGTAAAAAAATGAGGTCAGTAACAATAGTGATGTTATCTGTAGTGACTTCAAGGTCGTAGCCAGACTTAACGTTTAACATAGGCAAGTGACTGCTGTTGCCGGGGGGAAATTCAGTCTCTCGGAAATGCGAAATTTATCATGCAATAATTATGAAACAAAGAAGCTATATGTATTGTAAGATCAATATTATTTTTATATTGTTTGCTCAAAATCAGTAATACAAAAGCGAGTGGCTCGGTTGGCTTCTTACTAGCTACAGCGATGGACTTTTGCTTTGACTAACTGCAGGGATGATGTATTGTACATTTGTTACTTACTTACACAGTAAGGAAATACAAAAGAAATAAATGTTGGGTGGTTGATAATAGCATTTTTCATACCAACACTGTCCATTTGGGTGGTGTAGCACAAGTGAAATTGAAATTTTATTATRTTGTAGTTGTCCAGCCATTGCACAAATGCTGTCAACCATGCTGTATTACAGACGGTTYTTCCCTTACTACACATACAACATACTGGCAGGTCTTGATACTGAAGGTACTTACCTTTCTATATAATATATACTTATAAATTACTCTTTCATTTGACTGTTCTTCAATTTATTTGTTTCTCAGGAAAAGGCTGTGTATTCAGTTTTGATCCA